TGGTGCTTAGTTGCTGGCTGGGGCTAAACCATGACAGTATTATATTGCAGCTATATCCGATGACAACAAAAGGTACTCTTTGGTATTTTCCCCATCTATTACTGTTAAAGTACTAAGCTGCAATGAGCTTTTGGCTGTGTTCTAATATATAATCAAAAAATCTTTCTATGCAGTGTCTTTGCTTTCAGATTTTAAGAACAGTAAATGCAGAGGCAATAACCTTTATACAAACTGACCAACAAATAATAAAGGGGTCAAACATGCATTCCTAGTCTTTGGGACAGTTAAATATACTTCACACCAACCCACGCAACTTACCCACACTATCTGTGATAGAATCCGTTTTAAAGGAGGGCAAGACTTCTCCCCTTAAAATGATTCTTTTAGAAACTGCAGTCATCCTTTCTCTATGATTGAAATTAAAATGTAGAAGTAGTATTGTAAATCATGAGAATAGCAGTTCAAGCCTGTTCATAAAGGCTTCTGTGGCCAAAGGGAATTAAGCATAGTTGACCATTATTTGAGCTACTACCCTTCCCACTTCAAAAATCACGGTCATTTCCAAGTTTTATTCTTCCCACTGCATGTCCTTCAACATCATCTTCCCCTTTTTACTATTTTTTGCATGTGCTGTCATGTATTAGGCAGATGTCCTCTACCCTTTGTTTTCTTCTCTTCTTGTCGTACCTATTGCACTTATGCCCCAATGTATTCTAGAAATATACCTGTAAAATTTCCTGTTTACTCTATCCATGAGAATTTATTGTTTTCCTACTTTTTATTGCATATTTTTACCATGTCTGACTCCTGTAGCCACACCAATTCCCTTTAACAGAGTTAACTCAGAAATTAAATTTCACTGTTTTCTCAAAGCACTACACTAAATATCCCTACTGTCTTGCCTAGTTATTGTTGTACTACAGATAGTAAACCTATCAAATTCTAACTGTTACCTTGCATCCAGGTTGCATACTCTAGAAAAAAAAAAAATCTAATTATCTATTAATTTTTTTACAGAAATTAAAAGTTCACAGAGGCCCATAGACTGGTAAGACTGCAGTCACAATTTCTCAGAGTTAATTTGTCAAATCAGTGCAGTTTAACAATTTACAGCTTATAGCTGAAAACAGAAAAATAAATAAATACATATGGACATTTGTCTGAATAATTCTAGTACCAGTAGTAAATAACAGATGGAAAATGTGTCCCCCATTTTCAGTGAATGACAATCTTTTCTCACTACTGAAGAACAAATTTTACCTGATCATTTGTGGAATATGCCTATAATTTTTCTGGTAATAGAATTGAAGATTGTTATTATGGTTCCATAAATTTAATCAATATTTCCAGAAGCAGTTACACATCTGCTTTATACGCTATTGTTTGGATTTGTTTCGTAGTATGGGAGTAGTTCTAATACTCCAAAATAATCAGAAGAAAGGAGTATTTCACTTTTAGCACATCTCTAATGACCAGTTTTTGAAGTGACAGACAGAGACAAACAGAGGTTCACTGACTGCTAATCAATTAGATTGGCTGAGATAGTAGGCACTAACAGAAACCTTCAGGAGACATAGTATCTGCAAGCAATAGACCATGCATTAGGCTGCTGTATTATTAGAGCCCTAAAGAACATTCTATAAATGTGTATCTTTCTGGAATCCAAAGCTAAGGTTAACCCTGAATTTTTTTTTACTGCTGAACAAAGAATTCTCTTTCCAGAACCTGAAGCCAGCTCCCTACATGCAACATCAGAGGTATTTGACTGGAGACACTCAGAGTAGGAAGGTCATACAGGGTAGCAGAATTTAAATATTTAAATGCAGGTGATAGCATCATAGCCATTAGGTTTTGAAGACATACTCTATTTAATGAAATTATCCTTAGTGTGCCCCCCCCAGAAAGGTCACAGCATCTTTATAGTATTCCCCAATTAGACTTTATCAATACATTTTAAAAATGTATTAGAAACAAAATTTAAACATGAAAATAAACTTTGTAGTTTGATTCTTTGGTTTTGACTTAGTATCTTGACCCCTATGAACTCATTTACACTGTAGAAGGCTGCTATGTATAAATTAAGGCTTCATACACAGTTTTCATCTAGTATATTGCAAAGCAGAGGCAAGTCCTTTTGTGTAATAGCAAACCTACATCTGTGTCATAGCCAGTGAAAAAAGAGTAAGTGAAGTTTGATCTCATTGCAAGATTAGTAGAAAACAGCTACTGATGCTTCTTTAATCTCTCAGTTCAGAGCTTCAAAGTCATATAGATAGACTGACAAACTCAGGCCAACTGTCAAAAGTAAAAACTCAAATTACTTGAGTGGAGATGAAAATCGCATTTAACATCAAGCTGAATGTAACCTCTAATGTATTACTATTACATGTCTAAAAATAAGTTTTAAAAAGTCAAATGTGTAAATTCCATACATATTTATGTGCAAGCACATATTTTCTTCACAAACGTATGCAAAGTGGAAAAAAACATTTAAATGCAGAAATGTTAATGGAGTGTCATCAGCAGAAAAATGTACCCACATACCTGTAATTATTGGAAACTTTCAGTCAATCTACTAAAATTTCTGCAGTGTTCTGGAAACCATTAATAAATACAGAAATATCCCAAAGCAATGACAGTTACTACTGTAGTACAAAAAATACAGCGTGGAACAGTATTATAAAATGGCCAGTATATCAGAAAGTTACACACTTGGCAAGAAAACTAAAAGGTAAGCTTACCTTTTATAAAGAAGTATAGCAATAACAATACAGATGATAAACACCACTGCAAGAACTGGTCCAACAACCCAAATCAAGCCTTCTTCCTCATCTGTAATTGGTTGGGGATCAAGATCCATTGACACAACAGGATCAGAATATGGGCTGGTTGCATACATGGTCTATGCAAATAAAATAGGTCTTACTTAATGATAAAGGAGTGCATTTAAAATATTAATGATCCTAGATCTAAAATACATCTGTACAAGATAATGGTGCAATGAACATAGCAATGCAAAAATGCTATTTTTCTTCAAGTCAGGCAGCACATAAACTTACAAACTGAACGGTGTGTTTGTGCTCCACCTATTAGCAGTGATCTGCAGACAAATAAGGTAACACAGTCCTTCACAGAACACTTTGCAACTTAAGCAAAGAATGAGAAAATGAAGTATTAGGAAACTGAGGAATATAACCCATCAGTTACTATTTTTTGGTTTTTGTTTTAGTTTCATATTGGCTTAACACTATTTCTTCCTGCAAGATACGAAAGGAGACTTCCACAAGAATGTGAGTACTATAGGGAAAAATAAAAGGGACAGAATGTTGGACGTTCCTAGAAAAGGGTCCTATGGCAATAATAGGGTGCATTTTGATCAGTCAAAAACTGTCTGACAGAGTGTTCTTACAGAAGATGGAGACAACTTGAATTTAAGACTGAAAACAGGGGAAGCCACTATAGAATATGAAGGGAAGCTAAATACTCAACGTCTTTTTCAGGGATGGAACTAGAGTTATGAACCAACAGAGGTTGTTGAAAATTTTTGCTTTACTGCATGGTGTAAAGCCAGCTGGCCTAGGGTAAGACCTGTAATAAGAAAATAGTAACTTTTTTTAATTACGGTCTGATCTGAGATGTCTGACCTATGGCTGAGTGCAGAGTTAAAATTACAGACAGGAGAGGCTGAGGAGCCAGCCTGCTAAAACTGGATCACGTAAAGAACTCTGATCTACAGTAAAGTCAGAAGTGGAGAATGGTTTGTACTTATTTCTTGTCTTTGCTGGAGTGTCTCCACAAGCACTAAACTAGGATTTGAACTACAGCTCTTGCAAAGGACTTAAAAACTTCATTCAGCAGTACATCAGGCATGC